TTTCTCCCCAGGGCGCGACAACAGCAGCCACAAAGTCTATAGCCCAGAAACTTTAGAAACTAAGAAGCTTGAGGAGTCTAGCCGCACTTGTCGTGATCTCCACACAACAAACAAATGAACCGCCCACATCTTGTGATGCCCCGGCCACGTCTGAAAAACTCTCTCCGAAACATCGCGAGCTCCCGTCGCCGCTTCTTTCGCGCCTCTTCCTCCAGGGCTCCGCCACCTCCGAGCGAGCGAGAGACGCATTCCGATGGGTCAAAACTAAGCCACAGCCAAAGGGTCTCTTGATGGCGCAAAAATGGGGGATGTGGGTGTGGGTCAAACTGAAACCACCTGATTCACAAAGAAATTGGTGGTGGTATGGCTCAAAACCACTTTCGTCCTCTCCATTTACCAGGGCAAGCCATTTTGCGCATCTATGTTTGACCCACACCCGTATTAGAGCCAGAAGTGCAGCCATGGGAACAGGGTTCCAGTTGTCGGGTGTTTTGTCCCATTCAATATATTTTCCCCACAGAACTCCTGGGCTCCCGGTATAGCTTCTGCCTGGGTACTGAAGCAAAGGAATGGCCGTATACAGCTCCTAAGCCTACACTAGATGCACCAGTGCCATGAGGGCAGGGCTCCATTTCTCCGCAAGCTTGAACGCAGGGGAAGCCCTCAAGTCGGAGAACCCCTAAACACATGGCAAGGCGATTTGGGCGCTGCTCAAACGCTCACTTCCTGGAGTGGTCAAAGTCCGAGCTTTTTGTCTGAAGGAACTCAGAGAGTGAGAGTGTCAGCTCCTGGGCTTTGAGCTGTCTCCCTCTCACTGGTGGGATCACGCAGAGCAGCCATGTGGGACGAACTCCCTTGGGCCCTGCCACATCTTCCCCGGTCTGTTCAAAACCATCCCGCGAATGCCAAGTGCTCTGCGAAGATCTTGTTGCAGAAGACAAAGAGCGGAAAGGAACGAGAGCGCTAGGCAAACCAGATCGGCCACCCGGAGTCTGTTGCCAGAAACGACTCTTCGCAGGATCCGCTCAAGGGGATCCACGCGGAAAAGGAAATGCAAGCTTGCTCGTTCTTTTCTTCTTCGCTAGTTGAAAGGGGCACAAGAACAAAGCAACCCAACATCCCGTTTTCAGATGCAAGGAGCTGCGCGATTTTCGGAGAACTCTTCGGGTCTCGCCGTCTCGCCTCGACGACATCAAGCCTCAGTGCATTGCAACCTCCGGCCCCCGGGGCTTGGAGAAACTGTGAGGGTTGGGTGCCACCCTTGGCCCATCCTAAGGAACAAACCACCCCCCCCCTATTGTTTAAAGAGGGGTTGCTTGGTCCTCCAGATTTGAGAGGTTAGATTAAGGGTACCCGATGTTTCTTCAGGACGGCGATTTTAGTAGCGGAACCCTCCCCCAAAAAAGTTGGTAAAAGTTGGCACTGGGGGACCTAGAACTGTTAGCTTCCATTGACGGCTTGTCTGCCACACAACATCATGCATATTCATTTATGACCCATGGACCATAACGGTCATGTCCAGCCTCGAACAGCGAACAAGAAATCGATAGCAAAGGGAAGCTTTGGCCTACCATGGCCTACCTGCTTGGTAGCTAAGATGGAGGCTACCGTCAAATTGGTTTCGGGCTTCTACCCTTTTAACGTCCTTTCTTCGGGCCGACATGCAAAGCAACTACACCAGGGTGACAAGTGAAGGGGACGAAGAAGCCATCCTGGTTCAACCAGCCAGCCCGTTTCTGTACACAGCTTCATGTCATGCGCAAAAGTCCCGTACCCACCTTGCAACGGGACATCCACATCCACTTGACACTCACTCGACGTGCCGAGCTCTGGAACTTGATACATGATGCCCGCGCTCACACGTGGTGCCCCGAATCGAACACCGATGTAGCATGGCGCTCCAGCCCTTCTAGGCCAAGAGACTGAGACGTAACGTGTCTTCTTGCGATCGCCCGACGCTTTCTCGGGTTCAGGGTCTTCATGTTTTTCCTCCCCCCCTTCAAACATCACCCTACAAGGAGACTTGCCGTAAAAAAAAAAAAAAAACGTGCATTGGCCCAGAATATGATGTTGGAGCAAACGTCTCACATGCTCAACGCCAACAGGGCAAACGTAGGGAACTCTGCTCTTTGACGACAGGCGCACGTGGCGAATGATTCAATAAAGGCTAGTCCGAGCGCAGAAAGCATGAGAAGAGAGCTCCTCTTGGGAATGCCGTGTGAATCTGCAGGGAAGTGATTGTTGAAAGGGGGGCCTCTTGGTATCACAGAATATGAGCCCTATATAAAGCCCAGTTTTCCACAACCATGGATATCTCAGTTTCTTTTTCACATCTGAACGTGAGGATAGTGCAAACATCCATGGCGGATTTCCTGGTGTCGCCCCTTCCACCTCAAAATGGCACCGTCAAAAACATACGCCTCCCCATACAGCTGACTCGAAATCTCCGGGGCGCCGTGCGGCTTTCGGGCACGGGGACAGCCAGGCCGCGCCTGTCGGCTAGAAGCGGACCATGTTGCTGGGCCGTTGGTCTGCGTCAATTGCCTAGGGACCAAACATGTTTGCGTTTTTCCGATTCAAGGAGACATCCAAGGCCATTGGTTTTTGAGTTTCTCTGGGAGAAATCGCCAGTCACTGGGTCCAACTGAATTTGAATCGCTATGGATCGCTCTGGGTCGCCCTGGGTCGCTATCCAGGCCGGAAACTGCTGGATTTCCTTTAACTCGTCCCCATTCTCGATGTGCTTGGGATCGGATTGAAGGGCCAAAAAGCAAACCGGGGGGGTTGGGGTGGGGATTCGGGGGTGTATTTGTTGAGGCACACCCAGGTATGGAAGCATTAAGCATTGAGTCCCGCTGTGGGTCCAACTCGCAAACACTCTGGGTGATTGGTGAGAGGCGAAAGTTCTATGTGTGCAAACAAGGGAATTGAGTGACGCATGCTTGTAGGTCATGTGTTGCTTGCAGGTTGGCGTCTGTTGGGGAAACTTACAAAAACTGGGGACTCAAACAATCCATGGATTCCATGCACTCGGACTTGGTGAGGGAAACTGGCCTTGACCTCAGTTGCTTGACGCAAACTGACCTGCGTTCTTCACCTAGAGGTCTTGCCAGGAATCTCGGGGCTTCGCAGCTTGAATCGGGTGCTTTTTGCCTCACCCTCCCCTCCTCCCCCCCCCCCCAAAAAAAAAGAGGAAGAAGAGAAGAACTCAAGCTGCAGTTTCTTTCCCTGTGACTTCCCCAGAAAGAAAGGGGTCCCCTCAAAAACAGACCACCCCCATGCTCCAAGCCGCGTTTCCAGTCCCTCCGGCGCAGCTTTTCGGCGTTTTCCGCTTTCGCCAAGGTCGCGGAAGAAGCTCCTAAGGAGGCGTGGCAACTAAACGAAGAAAGTGACCCATCCCTGTTTGGTCCCTGTTTCCTCTTGGATCCCCTTCTCCTTGTTTTGGGAGAACCACCCAGAAATGGTGTTGGTTTCCTTTGGGATTGAGAAGAGCACGTGGGACGGCCATCCTTCGACCAACTCCTCCGATTTCTCGCCGCAAAAAAACCGACGAAGGGCCCCAGGAACGGAAGCCGGGCGTTGCAGGGCGATGGCCCTTTGGGAAGCCGCGGCAAAAAGGATGCCGCTGAAGAACCAAGGGTCTATGGTTATAGGGGCCTGTCTTTCTTGGAGGAAACCCTTCTTTTTGGTGGGTTTTAAAGGGAATCCACCAGGAGAACCCCACATTTTTTCTCCGCAGTTCCCTGAAAAAAGACACGCCCATATATTCCGATGTTATTTCACAATTAAAAAATACATCCCTTCTGAGGCGCGGCCAAGTCGGCAATGCAAGCAAGGTTTCACAGCTCGCTGAACAATTCTCAGGGCAACTGAAGAAAGGGCCGCGGACCCTTCGCTGACCCCCAAAAGCATGTCCTACATTCACTAGTTGCGGCCTGAAAGTCTGCATTCTCGCCACAGAGATGTCAATGGGGCGGGGGAGCGCATATGTGTCTTTCTTGCGGCTTCCTTAAGGGGAAGCAAAACAAACACGGCTCATTCAGCAACCAAACGTGCTTTGCTTCAAAGAGCCCACTATCTCGGATTGAAGCCAAGCACATGGCACAGCAAGATCTGCCAAGATGATGTGGTGTTGTCTTTGCAGACACTCCCCCTCCCACTCCAAATAAACAGAACCAAATCACTAAACAAAGAAACCCTTCCATGTTCATGGGAGAGTAGGTTGCTCTTCAACTTTGGAAACATGGCTTCTACTTGGTTTGTTGTTTATCGTCATCACACAGTGGGCTCACCATCTTGTCTGAGGATGTTGGTACCACACCCCGGGATTACCCCTCGTGCAAGCTCGGGCTATTTCCAACCAAACTCTGTTGTGGGCATTTCATTTGCCAACCGTATGCAATACACAAACCCATGCCATAGATATTGCCACAGAGCCGCATCGAAAGAACCAAACAACCAAGCAACACATCCAGCAATTCCTATATAAACATTGCGGGACCTTCAAAGTATGTGGCTCCCTCGCCTTCCAACGTCCCAAAACTCACATGAGGGTCCCAACAGCTCATGGGAAAAGTAGGAACTCATGCGTGGTCCAGCGGAAGCACCTGCATAGAATTCAAAGAAAGCCACTTGTTCAAAAGTCAAAGTACACTTGATGGTTACCTTCGGCCGGGATCCACAAGGGATGTTCGTGACTAGGTCCTCCAGTAAAAAGGTTAGAATAAGGGTACCAACTTTTTCCCGTAGTCTGTTTTGGTAGGGGAACCTTCCCCCCCAAAAAGACGGTGAGAGGTCGGGCACCTGGCTGGGGCGTCTATCTGGCCTCATTATTTTACCATGCTCAAAGCCACCCCCGAAGTGGGTTCAAGGGACACAAACTAAAACTGATTCCATTTTCTGACTTTGATAACCCCCCGGAAACCGTCAAGCGAACGACCCCTGCCCAGGCGAGTTCATAGCTTCAGCTGACCAAATCCTTCGTTGATACCGCCGGTCCTTCAGAGCAAATATCCGCGGATCCACCTGGTGCGAGCCGGATCCGTCCGGGCTTTATCCGGACCGCCTGGGACCGCCTGGGACCGCCTGGGACCGCCAGTTGGGTATGTGCCCAAGGGAAAAACCCTCGGAAAATGGCGGCTCGGACCTGTTTGGAGTCCCGTTCACCCAACCCGAAAAGGGTTGAAAGAAAAACACAAACAAACAAACAAACAAACAAACAAACGGACCCAGTTGACAGATCTGCAAACCGTTCTTGGGTTGACTCCCACAATTTCTAGTCAAACATTGCACCATAGAAAGGTCCCAATGTCCATGATTCCAAAATGGACAAACAACAAGAAAGGGACTATTGATCGAAAGCACGTGCCATCCATGATTGCAAAAGGGAAGAATACAATCACTTTTCTTAGGTGCCCTCCCATCCCGCTGACATGGACCTCGCTGAAAACATTTTCCTTCAGGAAACGTCAACTGGCGGGTTCCATTGCAGCGGACAGGGTAGTAGTTGCTTTTACCATGGGGCCCTCCAAACAAGAAGGACACAAGGCACGGGAGGTGTGGGAAAAAAGGAGAAACCCATATGAAACCTTGCCCGCGACTTCCCGGCTAGTGCCTTCCTGCACTCCGTTCCGTCTCAAACTCCTTGGTGACATGGAGCCATTTGGGCCCGTCTCAAAACACATGTCTGGCAAAGAAGACATGGGCGGTTTCCTTTATAGACATTTTCGGGATTCTGATGCAAAAGTCCCTGGGCGGTTTCCTTTCCGGTCTCCCTTGGCACCCCCGAACCAAAAGCCCAGCGCATCCTTTGGCTCCCTTTTCGGATCTCAAAACCTGGCGTCCCAACCAAAAACGCCGCCGGCTTCCTTTTCGGTCTCCCTTTCTTGGATCCCCAGAAACGTGGCGCTCGCTTTTTACCCCCCCCCAACCGCCGCCGGTTTCCGCCGAGCCTGCGCTCAATGGAGGCCATGGCGCTGGGGGAGAAGGGCACCGCGGGGAAGAGCTCCACCTGCGGAAGAATTCGTTGGGGCGGGGTGCATGCTTTCAGGGTAAGAGACCCTCTGGCCCTGGAACCTGTCCACCAACAAGACGAAACTAACCAAAGCCCAAAGCTAAACTTCTTTCCAAACGCAATAACCAAGTACCCTACATGCTGAGCCTCAAACCAAGGCACGCTGCCCTCAGGAATCCGAGTGGAACAAGGAGGCCACGTCTTAGGGGCCTGTTCAACATGGGGGTCGATCAAAAGGTACGATGAACATGGGAGGACCATTGGGGGAAACTGCTAAGAATATTATATTTCAACACCAAACGGGCAAAGTTATCCATGGTCATTAGGAGGCCAGTCTTTATCATGAAGCCATGACAGTGGTCCACCCTGCTTGCGATGTTGATTTCTCTTAGTGTTGCAGCTTTTTGGCTGCCCGTTATATGGGACGACCATTGGGAAAAAAACCGTGAAAGTTATCGAAAAGGGCATTTGGGGGGCCAGGGGTGGATTCCAACCATCCTTTCAACCATCGTTCTTTTCAAAACCGAGCGCTGTTTCCCCCTGGGTTTCTGATCCCTGCAAAGAATGGGGAAGCTTCCCCAAGAATATGGGTCGGAGGGGGGGGGGGGGGGCGAGAGGGGGAATTGGTCCCCGATGGCAAGATTTTGGGGCTTCTTTTTGGTGTCCCTCACCAAAATCAAAATGTCATGTTTCTGTTCTTTTATTTGGGAAGCCCCCTGTTCGTCGGAAAACCGAAGCCGTTCTGGGGGATCCACTGAAAAAGACACAGCCATGTTGTGGCGGTTCTCAGGAGCCACTTTTTCTGGACCCCACAAAGGTGGGAAGGCAGAAAAAGGGGGGGGCAAAGGGGGGGGGTCCAGGTTGGTGGCTTCTTTCAACCGCCCTCCCTTTTCTTTTGTCTTTTGGTTTCCAATCCGCTGGCTCAAGCAAAGAAATGGCTTGGTCCTTTGTTGGTTTTGCGCCCGCAAGCAGGGCTGGTTTCAAGGGAAACCAAATTTTGACCAGCTACGCCATCTTGTGAGGTACCCAAGAAAAGAAGAGCCACCCATTTGGGTTGATTCCAATTTTTCGGTTGGTTGTTTGTTGGTTGCAACCCATTTGGAGGATTTGCGTTTGTCTCTGAATGGGGAAGGGGTACCTCAGCTTTTTGTTGTTGCTCTTTGGTTTCCCCCCTTAAAAGAACTCCAAGGGTTTCCTCCACTTCAAGGCTTATTGGTCGGTGTTTTGCTTAGGAGGTGAACAGCAGAGCACAATCCGCTTTGAGAAAAACACGTGGAACAACAACATGTGTGGTTGGTTGATTGCATTTAGAGGTAGCCAATGCTCCATTTAGAGGGCACATGGGTTGCGACCCACGGACCCATCAACCAATGAAGCAACAATGGACCAATGGAAACAGTCCTTTACTTAGGCGTCCCTTAATTCAGCCTTTGGACGCACAGTAAAAATCGCAGATTTATATATCTTTCGAGTTGCTTCGGTTTACCTGACTAGGTCCGCCAGTAGAGAGGTTAGAATAAGGGTACCCTTCTTGCTGTAGTCTATTTTAGTAGGGGAACCCTCCCCCAAACGAGTTGGTAAAAGTTGGCACCTAGCTGGGGGACCTAGTAGAGGAAACACAGGTCTCGTGTTCCAACCGAACAATCCTGTTTCGGATGCCAAAAGAGATGGAGCCAAGTGGAGTGCTATGGGCGTAACACGCTCTCGTTGATAGGGATGTTCCACTCCAAAGTGAAAAGGGAAGAAACCCACTCGCTCTTTTTCTGGGCAGAAGTTATTGGTGTGCAAGTGCCAAGGGTCATGCCAACATAGCGCCGAAGTTGGAAGGACCTTTTGGAATGAACATAAAAACCGACTTGATCACTATTGAATAAGAGCGTTGGGTTGCAACTTACCCTCAAGTTGCAGGTTTCATTCAGCCTTTGGCTGACCCATTTAAAACCACAAGTAAGAAAGTAAGAAGACACATTACCCTCCCCCCCCCGCCCCCAACGCATTTGGCAAGGCTAGCAGAACCCGAAACCCTTATCTTCGAAAGGCCCGGACGGTCTTTCCCCTAACTTTGGCCAGAACAATTCCAATTTTGCGCAAAAAGGCTATAACCTGTCCGCTGGAGGAGTAAACCCCAAAAGAGCCAAAACCTAAAACGCAGATAAGCTATCCCACCCAATTGATATGGAACTTGACAGGGGTCCTGGAAGATCATTTTCTCAGATGCCCAGTGGTTTTCTATTTCAAAAAGGGGGCACCCTTTTTGTTGGTGGTTGAGTTTGAAGCAATTGGAACCCTTCCAAAAAGAAAGTCGAAAAAAGGAAGCAACCCACTGGGCAACAGAGTTTTCCTTTATAAGGGACGATGGCCGTGAGACGCCTCTGACACGTAGAGCTTCTCGCAGGCGTCCTGCACCAGGACGTCCACGCCTTGCAAGGCTCCAAGGCCGGAGCTAAAAACGTGCCAGCGGTGTGTGTGTGTGTGTGTTTTGTCACTTGAAACACATCACACACATATATATATATATATATATAAGTATGGATAAATGTGTGCGTGTGTGTGTGCGTGTGTGTGTGTGTGTGTGTGTGTGTGTGTGTGTGTGTGTGTGTGTGTGTGTGTGTGTGTGTGTGTGTGTGTGTGTGTGGGGGTGTCTGTGTGTGTTCGCTTGCTTGCGGCTGTATACCTTTACTTTCTGACGCCTAAGGGCAAGCTGGTTGCTCGAGTTCACGGCGTGGTGGACTTTTTGGAACATGAGTTCCTCATCGCAGCGGGTCCAAGATCAAACTCATATTTTCGTAGGGGTTCAGTTGAGGTGTTGCCCGTGCAGGCAAGGTGTCCGCAATGTGTTGGAGTGTGTAAAACTTGCTTGGCCGACTCAAAAGAGGTTGCAAACAACCCAAGCCTTCAAATGGGGCAAACCAAGAATGAGAGAGGTAGCAACCTGAGTCTCCACCCGCCATCCATTTTTGGATGCGCGTTTCTTTGGAGTCGTTTGTTCAGAATGGGGTTTGGTACCAGAAGGACTGTCTATCCTGCCAGGGGGGTTTTGGGGCAACCCATTGTGCCACTTTCTGCAAGTTGTTCTCCCTGTGATGATGTGGGAACAAACCGCCGCGGGAGCTTCGAAAAGCCGTGGACCAACCCTGATCAAAGGATATGTGTCAAACAGGAAGACCCCGAAGAAGGGTGGTTTTCCATGTTGGTGTTCCTTTGATCCACACACAAAAGGGCACCTACAAGCAGAACACAAACACAGAAACGAACCAATCGCATACACACGCGCGAACAAACAAACCAAACCAAAACCAAACCAATCCAATCCAATCCAATCCCACCCAACAAACAAACAAACAAACAAACCAAACCAACCAAACAAGCAAACAAACAATCAACCAACCAAACCCAATACACAAACAAGCAAGCATCTGCTGCGTCTCCGGATGATTGATGCGTTGAGGCTACTTAGCATCTGCGAGGGAAAACAAGTTACCCTCCCACCAACAAAACATGGACGTGAACAGCTTCACTTTCCAAGGGGAAAATCGTCTTCTTTTGTTGGTGGGAGGGTCGCAGCCTTTTGGCCCCTTCCGGATCCTATTGCAAGGAGAGTCAGAAACCTGGAAGGGGGGAGGGTTGGGGGGGTGGATGCAAGAAGTCCCACTCTATGGTTCATTTGAGAGATGGAAAAGCAAAGATCCGAATGCAAAGCAGATTTGGCTCATGAGGCCTGGCCGGTGTCTGGTCCAAACCTTAGATGCCCAGTGGCCATGGGAAAAAAGGGCACCCCTTTTTGGTTGGTTGAGTCTCAAGGGGAACGCTTACACAAAAAAAGTCGGGAAAAAAGGGGGCAACCCACTGGGCAGCAGAGAAACGCTCCATCCTCCGTCTCTCGGCATCCCGGCGCAGGTGGTCCACCCGAGCCTTCAGCGCCGCGCGCTCCGCGAGGCCCATGACCCGCTTCAGGCAGAAGTGCTGCCAGGCGCGCGCGGAAGGCCCAGAATATTATGGTGCCCACAAATGATTTAGTCCACCAACCTCATAAACAAAGGTTTCCCTTTCATTTCTGGGGTCTTTTGGTCGTTTCCTTTTTTCCTGACAACGGTTGGCTGTGTCGAGCCACAAGTTTCAACAATCAGATCATGCAAACAGGTTCATGTTGCTTTTTGGTCACAGCAGGACCAGTCGCCTAGTGGGCAAGGCGTCATTGTTGTTGGCCAAGCCGGCTTATAAACATAAATATAGTCATTCGTTTGTTTTTGGTTTGATTTTCGGATTGCCATACACACAGCATACCCAAAATATAGATTTTGGTTCACATTTGTAAACGCGAAGATATGAAGTTCGAAGCGGCGCTAATGTTAACATTGGCCGCCCACATTCTCGGGATCCAAAACTGAACAATTACACATTTTCCCGCAGAACGTCACGTTCGCCCACAGATCAGCAGTTGCCGCACGTTTAGTCTGCTTGAACCTTGGGTCCCAGCACCAGCTTGGGGGGCAATGTGTCTTCTCTTTGTTGACTAGCAGCACAGTTTAGGGGTGGGGGGGTTTGGGTTTCTGGGTGGGGGGGCAATGTGTCTTCTCTTTGTTGACTAGCAGCACAGTTTAGGGGTGGGGGGTTTCGGGTTTCTGGGTGGGGGTTATGTGTCTTCTCTTTGTTGAGTAGCAACACAGATTAGGCTTCGGGGGTTTCGGGTTTCTGGGTGGGGGGGGCAATGTGTCTTCTCTTTGTTGACTAGCAGCACAGTTTAGGGGTGGAGGGTTTCGGGTTTCTGGGTGGGGGGGGCAATGTGTCTTCTCTTTGTTGACTAGCAGCACAGTTTAGGGGTGGGGGGTTTTGGGTTTCTGGGTGGGGGGGGGGCAATGTGTCTTCTCTTTGTTGAGTAGCAACACAGATTAGGCTTCGGGGGTTTCGGGTTTCTGGGTGGGGGTTATGTGTCTTTTTTTGTTGAGTAGCAACACAGATTAGGGTTGGGGGGTTTTGGGTTTCTGGGTGGGGGGGGGGGGGTGGGGGGGCAATGTGTCTTCTCTTTGTTGACTAGCAGCACAGTTTAGGGGTGGGGTTTTTGGGTTTCTGGGTGTGGGGGGGCAATGTGTCTTCTCTTTGTTGACTAGCAGCACAGTTTAGCGGTGGGGGGTTTGGGGTTTCTGGGTGGGGGGGGGCAATGTGTCTTCTCTTTGTTGACTAGCAGCACAGTTTAGGGGTGGGGGGGTTTGGGTTTCTGGGTGGGGGGGGGGCAATGTGTCTTCTCTTTGTTGACTAGCAGCACAGTTTAGGGGTGGGGGGTTTCGGGTTTCTGGGTGGGGGGGCCAATGTGTCTTCTCTTTGTTGACTAGCAGCACAGTTTAGGGGTGGGGGGTTTGGGGTTTCTGGGTGGGGGGGGGGCAATGTGTCTTCTCTTTGTTGACTAGCAGCACAGTTTAGGGGTGGGGGGTTTCGGGTTTCTGGATGGGGGGGGTACGTGTCTTCCCTGAAGAACAAGACCGAGGTGCCAGCCTGCGTTTTGCGGCTCGGGGCGGGGGCGCGGGCAAACGTAGAGTTCCGGGCGAGCCTTTTGCCTTCTGACGCGGGCCTCAGCGACCACCCCTATTCGTAGCAGAACCAATTTGCCGCACAACACATCAATGGATGTCAATTCCGCCCCAACAAAAAGCTGATCCAATTTTCGGAGGTCACGCCCCGCAGAGTGGCCACCTGAAACTACCTCTTTCCGCAGACCTCTCAGGTTTGACCTTGAAAGGGGGATCGAAAAAGCCAATGCTCCTGTCATTTGCTTCCTGAAAAAACCCGCGTTCTTGGCAACATGCCCGTGAGAAAGCTTTCCTCCCAGCCGGGTAAGGGCAAGTCTCCCCCCCGACCGGCGGGTGCGAACAATTTGGCCCTGGTTGATATGAAGGCGCGACAGGGAAATACCAAAAGGATGTGGATCTCAGAATCTTGTTTTCTACTGACCTTCCGCACCCAAACGCGTAGACATGTCTAAGGGGGTCTTGTGGTCACGGCGCTCGAGAGGAAGATGGCTGGTTTGGTTCACAAGGTTTTCCAGTAGAGAGGTTAGAAGAAGGGCACCAACTTTTCTTCTTCTGTAGTCTATTTTAGTAGGAATCGGAGCCCTCCCCAAGAAGGGGAGGGGGCACTAATTACTGGGGGACCTAGTTCATGTGCGCCTTTCTGGCCAATCATGCAATTCATGAGATGGATGGCTCAGTGGTCTTGCCAACTCATTCCCGATCCGACCTAGAAGGCTTCCGCGGGAACGTCTCTCCCACAAAGCGGCCAGGAAGCACAAAGGAACCCCAATGCAGCTGAGTTCAAAGGGGAATCTCGCCAACAACCACAACCCACCCCGAAAACAGAGAGAACTAACAACAGAAACAAAAAAACAAAAAACAAAAACATATAACCCCAACCCCCCCCCCCCCCCCCGAAAACGGAGAGAACTCACAAAAACAACCACCAAAAACAACCAACACAAAAAAAGGGGCAACCAAAAACAAGCAGCACAAAACAAACAACAGCAACAGCAAACCACCGGCTGAGCATCACAGCGAACGACTCCATCTTCACCCAGAGGCTTCCGCCTGCACCATCTGCGCCCAGGCGTCCGGATCATCGAAGGCCGCCTCGCCTGCCGCTGCCATCGCGATCGGCGCGATCGGCAGGGAAGGAGTTTCTCATGGAGTCCCTGCGAGTCCAAAAGAGGGCGAGGAAACTGACAGCCTCACCCCAAAGTCCGGGGGAGGGCAGGAGAAACAACAGAACGACCTGGATCGCCCAGTTTCCGCTTTCTTCTTTCAGTGACTGTTGCGATCGGTTTTGGGGGCAAAGTGCATGCACAAAAAAGGCAGCAACTGGCGATCCAGGTGACACCGTTTTGGAAAGGATTCCCTGAAAGGAAGGTATAGCAATTGGTCTTGAACCGGAAGTTTTTGGCTAACTGGCAGGTAGTTCCTGCTAGGGCCTCTAATGGACGCCGCACGCAAAAGGTCGCCCGAGGTGCGCTTCGACCTGAGGGTGCCTGGTCTCCTGTAGGTTTTCCTTTTGGTTTTGGTTTTGACCCCCGGAAATGGTTGGCCTTTTGGTTTCCCTTTGAAACCACCAAAAAAGGAAAAAGACAGACACACACACACACGACTTGCGATCGGTGCGATAGGCAGGGAAGGGGAAATGGAATGAACCGTTTTGGGATTCCCTGAAAGTAAATCATAGGGGATCATTTCTTATTGGACAATCCCTCACTTTCTGCTGAGCACCAGCAAGAAGATGGTTGGCTCCCTTTCGGTTTCCTGCAAACGGCCCCAACAAGGGTTCTCCGGTGCCCGTGGTTTAAGACCTCCAAGCCCGAATCTGCCCAATGTCCCAGTCGCAGAAACAAACATAACTAACCTGGGGGGGCTTTCAGAGATCAGGGATCGGCATCTGTTTGTTGCTATTGCAACCATGCACGCTCCGAACACTGAGCAAACAAGAAAGTGCCATCGCCAGCTCGTTGATCTGCCAATCCATGATTTGACCATCGAATTTAGGAGCAAGGTAGGCTAAATGTAACTCAGCGTTTGCCCCCAAATGAAGCACTATGTCGAATTTGGCTCATACTTTGCGAACCTAAACATCTAAAACCATATCGAATGAGATCCCTGCAATCGCCAGGATGAATAAATCAACAGAGCAGGGCACTGCGGCAGTGCATTTTTTGTGATTTTTCTTTGACCTGTGCAAATTGGGCTTGTGCTATTGTTTTGAGGTGGGTCTCTTGCGTAACGTTGAGCACTTTGTGGTGGAATATGATCATGCACCCCCTCAAATATCAATCTCTGATACCCGCGTTGTTGCTGAAATTCCACTATATGTACCAATGTCAGCCCTGTGTTGGTCATATATTAATATAGTATGTATGCATACCAAATGCATTAATATATATATATATATACATATATATGTATAACATGTGTATATATATATATATATCTTCCCTTGAAGGCAGTGGTTCGGGTGTTGGACAACGCCGCCGAGTCACTGAGGCCCAGACCCAGGTGGGTGGCCCAAACGTTGTCCGTGGCCAGGGAGTGCCTCAGTACCACAAACAACTCCGCTTCCCACTGATGATCGCTACCTGAGCATGTAGGGAACCAAGCTCTGGGGGGCTAAAGAAATAGACTGAGGCTGTGGGGTAATGTTGACCCATATCAAATAAACACCGGTTTTGTAATATGGGGGGTTCCCCTCCAAAAGTGGTCTGATTCCCCATTCAACCCAGGGACATCCCCCTATTCATAAACCAAAAATAACAGGCGATCACCTGTTGGGGGGTTTGGCCCCAAACATGGGTACCAAAAAGGGGAAACTGAAAGGTCGATTCGCTTTGGGCAAGTTAGACTACAAGCCGAAAATGCCACCATGAAAAACCTGGCAAAACTACCTGGTTACCTACTGTAGTGGAAATTAGAAGCACTGGGAAATATACAACTTGTTTGATCCTGGTGAATAAATAGAACTTTAAGCACGTCTAGAGGTGTCTCCCCCATCCCGGACGTGCAATCCGGGAAGTTTCAAAAAATCCACTGGCCTTGGCAAGGGGGATTCCAATTCCCGGGCTAATGTGGCCGGCAAAAAGTAAACCAAGCATACTCAACCACACACAACCATGGTAAAACAAGGTAACTTAGATAGTTGGACTCCTTGGCAAGGTCATCCACAGTGCCCTCCAGAAACGGGGTTCCTTATTGTTAAGCAACCAGGCGAGGTTAAACTCACCCAGTGTCCTTGTTTCAAGTCCACCCCCAATGTTGGGATGTTCAAAGGTACGTTACGAGACAACCCTTCTTTGGCCTTTTTTGGGCTTGTTCGACAAGGGACACCAAGGGAAGTTTCCAATACCTGAAGTACGGGCTCAAGCAATTAAAGGACTTACATCATAGCTGGCTCTTTTTACCTTCAGGTCAGCTGGCCACAAACATCCGCCCGGAGTCTTTCTAGGTCCTCCAGTAGAGAGCCTAGAATACGGGTGCTGTAGGGGAACCCTCCCCCAACAGGGATCCTTACATGATACAACTGAACATTGCAACTTTAAATGGTGGTGTTCCTGTCTTTTGGTGGGAAAAGCCACATGTTTCAACTGGTTGCAAAATGGAGATCTTTTAAGGAGCCCTGCCCAAAAAAGTTGGTAACAGGGCACTACTGGGGGACCTAGCTTTGGTCCTCCGTCCACCAAAAAAACCGGCCAAAGCCCTGGCCGGCCCAAGTAGTCCAGCTCCACGTGCATGGTGAGGCTGCCGATCCTGGGGGTCTCAAGGGCAGACTCAATGGACCCGGACCACTTCTCCGGTTTTGCAAACGCGGAAAATCCATTTCGAAAACCCAAAAAAGCGAGAGGGAAAAAAACCGCGGAGGATTTTTTCAAATACCTGTGGGATCAGGGATGCACGTGGGGTTGGTGCGCAGTGAGGGAAATCTATTGGCTCGGAGCTAAGCAGGAATTGAGAAGGAATGTTCTGGGGCCCTCGAATGCCGACTGTTGTGAGAAAACGCAAGGCAAACAAGTATCCCAAACACTCGGAGACTGAATATGAACAAGTTGGGACAAGACATTGATGATTTCCAGTTGCGACCGGTGACAGAAGAACAGGGACCCTCAGGGTTGACCATTTTGAGCGGCGCCCGAATCCAAGCGAATAGAAAAAAAGAGGTTGCGACTGGTTGCTGGGCAGTTCTTGGACCCAGCTGGCCAGACTCAAGAAGAAGACTGCCAGAACCAAAACACGAGATGCCCTCTTTCGAGGACCCTGACACAAATCGCCAGCCTGCATGGCCTGCCACATGGATTTTACGGGCGGCAAGAAAAAAACACCCCTCCCGGTTGTGATGGGTATTAGGCAAAACATCCGGAGTAAAAAATCCAGCCAGCGGCTACTTGTCTCGAACTCCCTTTCACACACATCTTGCGGAAGAGATGCGCCTTATCCCCGCCAGGCCAACGAAAACTTGAACGGGAGCTCCCAAAATAGAGACTCGGACACTCCACAATGGTGGGCTTTCCTTTTGGGTGCTCTTTAATGGGGTACCCTCAGCGAACATATTCTCAAGCTCTGATTCATGAATCCTCACTTGGGTCTGGGTCAAAATCAAACCACCAGGGACCGCAGGTCTTAGTTTTTGGTTCCATTTGCCAGGGCTTCATTTTGGGTACCTATTTTTGACCCACACCCACTTGTTAAGGGGATCCCCTTTGTGGGGATTCCTCAGGGGGATTTCTTCAACAACCAACCCGACTTCCAAAGCCACTCCTTGAGAACTGAAAGCGGGACTCAAGGCTTGATTCAGGCCGCGAAAGAGAAAGAAAAGTCGGGGTCCTGCCTGTGGTCCGTAGCTTTTAAGGGGGCCCACCACAATGGTGTGTCTTGGTGGCGTCTCTTCAACACCAGCAAAAGTTATTATCCCGAAAATGACACCCTGGTTGTGTTTTTTTTGGCTTCTCAATTACACCGCAAAAGAATGTTACCATCCCACACAAGACACACCCAGATTGATGTTGAAGCAGCTTTTTTCAGACAAGAAAGAACCTCCCCTTCCTTCTCCCGCGTGCCTGTTCACCGCCCACTCCTCATGTGACATTCCGCAGGCATGGCTGACGTGACGGTTCCCAGAGTCTTGGGGCCCTTGGAATGTGACGCGGACCAGGACCCAGGACCCTAAACAAGACCAGGTGTGAAACATCACTTGGGACAAGCCATCCATCCGCCTTGGGTTTCCAGCAAAACAAGAACCGCGTAGCGGCTGCTATTTTGCCAGCTGAAAGAGAAAGACGAGGCCCCGATATTGGATGGTCAAAGGCGAGCATAGGTGTCCTATTGGCATATGGAACAAACCCCATCTGCACCAGTGGACCCGGACTCTATTTCTAACAGAGCGAACCGATCAAAAGGACACCCAAGCTCAGGTGAAACATGGCCAAAGCAAGTGAGGTCAAAGGCGAGGTAGCTCCGGAACAAGCTTTGCCAAGACTTCAGGGAGCGGGACATGGCCTCATTCTGTTATCATCGAAGTCACCTTCTACTTGGGTCCAAGGGAAACACCGATTTCCATTTTCTGACTTTGCTAACCACAAACGACCACAGACAGTCAAACAAAATCACCTCTGGGCTTGTTTGGTTTGGGTTCGAAGGGAAATTCACCAAACAGGAAACAACGCCCGTCACTCGAAGGGTCTGAGTCCAGTTAGGAGTTTTGACTTTTGAGCACGGCTTTCGCTTGGGAGGAAATAGATAAACACCCCTCGTGGATCTAACCTGTTTGGCCATAGGTCCAAGGGAGTTATAGGAAGGTGATGGCCACATAACTGGCCCTTCAATGAGCCATCGTCCATACCTTTCATGGTGGTTTCCCATTGGTTTCCTTTAAACCACCCCCAAGGGTCGCCAAAAAAACAAAAAAAAAAACCGATCTTTCGCTCGCCTTTCTGCGCTTCTCACGTCTGAGCCGCAGGGCCAGCGCGACGGTGCGTCCCCAGACCACGTGCGCACGGGCCTGAGGTGCAACCCGTGAGCCCAAGCTGTGGGGGTTTCCACTGCTCTTTGGTTTGGCTCTGAGCCAAACACAGGGAAACTTTTCACAACAGGATACACTCATGTTCAGGGAACCCAAGGTTGAAAAACCACAGGTGCACAACAGGGTGTCAAATCAGTGTGAAGGACATGAAGGGACCTCCTTACCCTTGAGGGCGTCGTGGCCAATTAATCTTTCCACAGGCCCAAGCTGGCCAGCCCCATGGCTACGTTGTCACAAAGGGATTCACGAAGATCGGCCCTGCACCGTGTTTTGACGCCATGCCTATTTCATGAGTGCAATCGACGGAAGGAGATAGGAAAGGAGAAAAGGGATGGCTATTTCTCTTTTATTTGTCTTTTTAATTCTATTTCTTTCTCATGCTCTGGATCCTCTCTTCTCTGAGCTAATATTGGTGAGGATCCGAGAGAAAGAAATGTATTATAATAAAACCAATAAAGAAAGAACAATAAAAGAGAAAAGCAAATAAAAGAAACACAAGAAAGAAATAAACAAAAGAGAATGAAGGCTTGCCCTTCCCCTCGCCACCATCGGTTAACCCTTGATTTGTGGCTTGCCAAGGATAACAGGTTCTTGAATCCCAAGAGCTCCTACAAAAGGATTCTGATGGCACCTTCATGTCGGTTCATCTTCTCTTTACCTTGTATTATTTGGAGGTCAAAAGGCCCTAGGGTGACTTTTCCCATCATGCTTTGCGTCCTCAGCCTTCAGCTGACATTCTTTCTGGTCAATAGACCCATGCAACATGGTCATCCCCCCTTTTCCAAGTCTTCAAAGAACCATCCCCCAAGTACGCAGTTGAAGAGTCCTTGTTTCAATTATCTGGGTTGTGAATGGAGTGTTGTCCAATCCATAAATCCCTATTGTACAACCATAAAGGGGACTAAATTATTGCGTGATTCAAGCAATGAATAGAATAGGTTTCGGTAATGCTGCAAGTTGGATCAAATTCAAGAGCATCAAATATAAATCGGGGGGGGGGAGGAGGGCGTAACCCCAGTCTTGGATCTTGCGGATTGCCTTTGAACACAGGGCAGTTGCAGCTCGACATGTGGCGAGCTCCGGGTTCTGGGGGAAATCAAGCACACACACACACACATGTAGCAATATGTTTACAATATGGGAAGGTAATGATCTGAACATCAGTTTCTTGAAAGGATCCCGTCTCAGGTGCCATGTTAACTCAAAAACCCAGTGGTGGGGAAAAAACCCGCCTTTTGGTTGTTGGTTGAGTTTCAAGGAATCGGAACCCTTCCCCCAAAAAATCGAGACACAAAAAAGGCAGCAGCCCGCTGGGCAACAGAGTTCATAGGGAGGTCGGGTTAAATCACTTTTTCCCCTCGGATTCGGCTCAGCCGACCGGATTGCCAGCAATCCGCCTCCTCCACCCGGCGCTTCGTAGAGCTGGGGTCCAGCTGCGCCGTGATGAGCTGTTCCACCTCGCCCGGCGGCTGCGTCGATTCCCGAAAGCGTTGCGAAGGCTTCTTGCGGTAAAGTCGTTGGGTTCTGCACAGCTGCGCAGAGAAAGTAGACAGTGTAATGCGTAGAGGCATGCAAAGGGAAAGTCTAAAGTGAAATGTGTAGCGATCTTGCATTCCTTCTCGTGCGGGCATAACTTGCACGAGGGAAACTTGCGCGCTTTCTGAAAAAGAGTATCTTAAGGCGGCGCGGGGGGGGTGCAAATGATGGTTTTCTTTTGGCGATTTTCAACATGCCCACAAGACCCTTTGCGGGGATTGGCGCGGTCAATGTGCAAAAGCTACAGCTGTTTTGCGTTTTCTGCTCTGCGCGCGTGGCCCTCTGCGGGGATCGTGCGTGTCGGGTCGCTCTCGCGATGGTCCCGTGCGAATCTTCGCGCTTCGGATCGCTCTGGCTGTGGTCCTGTGTGCTCCTTTGCATTCCTTCGCGCGGTCTGCGCGCGTCAGTCTGCAGGGATCAGGCTGCAAAGTCGCAACTTTAAAGTACAAAAGTAGTACGCGAAGTACGTCCCCGCAGCTCCGGCTGCAAAGTCGCAAAAGAAGTACGCGAAGTACGTCCCCGCAGCTGCGGCTGCAAAGTCGTAACTGTTCAGTACAAAAGTGGTACGCGAAGTACGTCCCCGCAGCTGCGGCTGCAAAGTCGGAAATTAGACAATGAAATGCATAGAGGCATGCAAAGAGAAAGTGCACAGCAAAACACATAGAGGCTTCCATAGGGCAAGTACAGAGTGACATCCATAGAGCAGTGCGTAGGGAAAGTAGACAATGAAATGCACAGGGAAAGTAGACAGTGAAATGCATAGAGGCATGCACAGGGAAAGTGGACAGTGAAATGCACAGAGGCATGCGCAGGGAAGTAGACAGTGAAATGCATAGAGGCATGCGTAGGGCAAGTACAGAGTGAAGTGCATAGATGAAGTAAGTAGACAGTGAAATGCATAGAGGCATGCAAAGAGCTGACAGTGAAATTCACGAAGGCATGCGCAGGGCAAGTGTTAAGTAGACAGTGAAACGCAGAGAGGCATGCGTAGGGCAAGTACGCATAGAGGCATGCACAGAGTAGACAGTAAAACGCATAGAGGCCTGCGTAGGGCAAGTACAGAGTAAAGTGCATAGATGCGTGCGCAGGGAAAGTAGACAGTGAGATGCATAGATGCGTGCGCAGGGAAAGTAAAGAGTGGAAGGCACAGATGCATGCGCAGGGAAAGTAGACAGTGAAATGCATAGAGGCCTGCGCAGGGAAAGTAGACGATGAAATGCATAGAGGCATGCGAAAAGCAAGTGCAGAGTGAAGTGCACAAATGCATGCGCAGGGAAAGTAGACAGTAAAATGCAAAGAAACATGCGCAGAGTAGACAGTGAAATGCATAGTTGGAAAAAACGGACCGATTCAGGCATGGAAAATGCATTCTGGCCGCCTGTCTTCTAGTTTTTTGCTATCATGACGAAATCTCGTATTGTTTTTGAGAAACTCTTACAGTGCACAGGCCATTGCGAAACAGCCTAAGTCTGGGCCAAGTTATTTTGACATCCGAACTTTGGGGCAAATAAGTGCCATAAGCCTGCGGCAGCTCTGGAATTGGCATATGAAAATGCTCACTTCCGAATCCGTCAAGCTCAGCCTGCACCCTCTTTTGACGCACTCAGGTACAGGCAGTGGGGAATCTATGGGCCGAAAAGATGCTCAAAACACCCCACCCCACCCCACCCCACCCCACCCCCACCCCCACCCCCACCCCCACCCCCCACCCCCACCCCCAGTTAGTGGTGACTTCTCCCGCCGTCATACTGCGCATTTTGTCCCCACTCCACCCGCCATACTGCGCAAAATCCCACCCATTGAATTAATAAATATCCCAAATGCATTGATACAATCATCGCAAAACAAATGTATCAACCCATTTACTCCTCAACTCCTTGTGACTTTGCTAATTCACAATGCCTTTTCGATCCATTATGGCTACACTTGGATGTTTTCTTTGCTAAAAATACTTGACAGACATCGCACCACCACGAATCGCCACGATCGGCTTCCAACTTCTCCCCGGCTTCTATCATTTGATATCGTTTGTGCCGACTAGTGATTAAATGCTTCGTCCATTCTGATTTAGCTACTTCTACTTTGCAAAGATCACAAAGTCGTTTTTCTCTCTTCTGTTCTAAAATCTCGTCCCTATGATTGACATAATACTTATGACATTTCTCCGCCATTTTCTCGGGATTATTTTGTTGATAAGTCTTAGCAGTAGAAAGGCAATAATTACATACTTTTCTCCCATCCTTGAACTCTCCTAGTTCTTTCTGTTTTCTGCACCTACTGCATCTCTGTAAGTTTTCCATACTACTATTTACCATCATGTCTTTAAGTGTCTTCTAACTGCGTATTTTCTAAGCTCTCCCACCGCCATACTACATAAATTATCACTCCCCAAAAAATGGTTAACCAATGGAAAAGGGAGAATTAAAACCGTTAACCCAAATCTTGAAAACAATCCCAGTAAAATATGGATGGCAAAATGCGGATGGGAAAGGCCTATGTAGGAAAGCACCCCCACGGCTTATGCGGGAAAATTAAACTAAAATTACAACATATAAGATCTTATATGTTGTAACTATAGTATAATCAAGAACTGAAACATTCATCTCAATAATAGCTAGCCGCGCTTTCATTATCGCTAAATTCTTCATCCTCGTCATAGAAGTCTTCCGTGCTTAATATATGATAAAATCGGATATGCCATTCTGCCTCTGTTCTGAATGGCATCATTTCCAACAGTGCTCTCTGGAAGCCCGTCCTGAGCAATGCCTGTGACTTCCGAAGCAACTGCCCTAGCCTTCCACAGCAACTGCCCTAGCCTTCCACAGCAACTGCCCTAGCCTTCCGAAGCAACTGCCCCAGCCTTCCGAAGCAACTGCCCCAGCCTTCCGAAGCAACTGCCCTAGCCTTCCGAAGCAACTGCCCCAGCCTTCCGAAGCAACTGCCCCAGCCTTCCGAAGCAACTGCCCCAGCCTTCCGAAGCAACTGCCCCAGCCTTCCGAAGCAACTGCCCTAGCCTTCCGAAGCAACTGCCCCAGCCTTCCGAAGCAACTGCCCTAGCCTTCCGAAGCAACTGCCCTAGCCTTCCGAAGCAACTGCCCTAGCCTTATTGCCCTAGCCTTTTGCTTCAGACCTTCAGAATTTCCGATCTCAAATAAGCACGAGTCACACCTTGGACATAATAATAGTCTTGTCCAAGTTTTCGCTCAATCCTTTCAATTGTGAACTTGTTTGCTGACCATGAACTCGTTCTTTCTTTCTCGGAAATCCCTTTTTTGCGGTATATTTTGACCTCATCACCAACCCTAACAGGGGGATATTTACGGGTTTTGATTCTGTTCATCTCAAGTTTCATCTTGACCTCAAGATGGTTTTCCTTTTTGTGGGCGTCACGTGGCGTCATGCCATGTGCAGAATGAACCATTTTACTGTTGTATGTCAGCATGATCTCGGGGATATAATCAATCCATTGTATATTAACCTTTCCCTTTTTCTCGTCTGCATCAACCCTCTTGAAAAGCATGTCCTTGAACGTGCGAATGAAACGCTCGGCAAAATGGGGGTGCCCTCGTGTTTTATAGTTTTGGATCCCTTCGTCCTTGAAAAAATCAACAAGATCTTGGGTGTTCAGGCTTCCCTCGTCATCCGAATAAATTAATTTGGGTTTCCCTCCCATTTTGTTTAATGCCTCCATGATCCCAGCCGTGATGTCAGCAGGTTGCTTGGATGCAATAGGCACCACCACGGCTTTGCGGGAAAATACATCAATAAGCAATAAGCCTATCCTATATTTTTGATTATCTAAATCATTTTTTGATATAAAAAACAAATCCAATTGATATTCAAAGTTGATATCAGGGGCAATAAACGAATTGTATCCAGACAGTTGTTTTTTCCGTTCCACGTTCTAGTTGGCACACTTGCCATTGACGTTGTCCTTCAACCATTCGGCATCTACATAATTTTCTTTTGGAATACCAAAGCCATTTTTACGATCCTGTTCCTTGTATGCTAACACCTTTCTATCAAAATAATTCATAATGCATTTTGCGTTAAACTCTTCATTTAAATCACTACTGTATTTGTAAAATTTTACTCTGTTTAAATCCCTTGCCCGAGTGATTCCCGTCCAAAGCCACTCGCGAGTTATCAGATGATGGTTCCAATCAAAAATGGTGACATCGTCATCAATGGAACACCCCTGAACAGAATGACAAGTATAACAGAAGGCAAAAATAAAATGACTTCAAGATACCAATATTTAGCGTGATCTCTTCTCGTGTTTTGATATTAGCAATGGTAATCCAAGGATCGGAAATATTAATTATCTCATACCTAAAATTCACATTTAACTTATAGGTTTTTGTCTTCCTATACTCTCTGCATATCATGATCTCGCCGACTTCAAACTCATTTTGTTTGCCCTGTCGTTTTCTGATCTGCCTTGAAACCTCTCTACAAGTGTTATTTAAATATGCGACATTGCTTTCTGTTCCTGTGATGTCATCAGTATATTTAAAATACTTATTGATGACATCATGTAGAGACAATTCATGCTCAAAGATGTCGGCATAAATACTTTTAAGTTTATCCTTGTCCTCCTGAGTCTTCAATCGCTTGCACTCTTCCAAAAACAGATGATGAGGAAAAATGCTGTCAATACATTCATTCATATAAATCTCGTGTTTCTTAGTGTTAGTCAGTGCTTTTATAGGGCTCAATTGCTTGGCGTCACCAGTAGCTAATATGATTTTATTAGCCCTATGTCGCTCTACAAAGCCCTTAATTTTTGCCAATACAAAGGTATTATTAAAACAAATCTCATCAAACACAATGACATCAAACATCGAATGATCGTATTTATCTAGCTTCTCGTCATTGACTGCTATACCGAAGAATTTATTTACAGTGACGCTTTCCACTT